TCTCTATCATGTGGTCGCTGTCAAGATTACAAATAAGATAGAAAATCCTCGGCATGAAGAATTGCCGATGAATGTCTCTGTGGTTGTTGCATGTAACAGCAACCGGCACGTTGTCGTTCTAACACCCAGTGTGTGCTGATGCGCTGGCCAAGGCATGCCTGGCGCACTCCATCAGCCATGTTTCACTACAGATAAGTATGGATTAAAAATTCAAGGGGAAAATGCAGGTCTGACCAGAGGAATACATGAAGCCGGCCGGGAGCCGCCGACAAGTTGCCACGGTCTGCCGCCCCAAACTGATCAATCACACAGCGCGATGTCACGCGACAATGAAAATATTCACACATCATGTATAAATCACGAAATTCCATGGCATTCCAGCACTTCTACGAGCCTAACCGAGATGTCCCTATCATACCACCCGGAAGAAAAAAGGCCCAGGATACTGGACACCTGCCGTGAGCAGCTGTCGGAAGGCGGAATGAAGCACCTAACCTAGACCAAGCAGTACAGGGTGAGGCACGATGGTAGGTTGGGTTGCGGAGGGTGAGGGGAGGATGATACAGTGAGTTGCACTGAATGCGCCCAGCTCAATCTTATAGGCAGACGTATCCTTGCCGCGGATACATGTACATATACGACGCCGTGGTCAGCACCGCTGCAACATGACCTCGTGGGCCGTACCAGTGCCGTCGCCAATTACCACACTGAGGAAAAGGGCGGCGACATGAGAACCAGCAGCCGGCCGGCACTAGACGTAGGCTGGCTGCATGATAAACCGTGTTGGGGGGGAATGGCAGGTCAAAGCCGACGAGCTGATTTCCGTTCCGTTTTGTCCGGTCCATGATGCGTCGGAGAAGACCAGGCCTGGACCCGAAAGTCTGGCAACTGGCGGCGATCCGATTATCGGAGATTCCGGGGAGGTTGGCCATTAAGTTCCCCTTTGGGCTAAACCCGCCGGGACACTCCTGGAACCGTCCCAGCGCAGATTCCGGGTACCTGTGCTGTTGCTGCGGCTCTTCCAGCCCACAAGCTCGCTGGCGGCGGATATCCTGCAATTGTGCGAGGTCAGGGCGACCCATGCAGTTTCGAGATCGAAAGATCTGTCTTATACCGTCGTCAAACACGCCCGCCGGGATGGTGAAGCCCTTTGGCCTCGCCGAGCCTTATAGCACCCGGCCTTCCCCCCCACGAGCGCGCGTGGGGGTCGGGTTGCGGGGTGAGCTTCTAGAAGAGCGCAGAGGAGGTACCCTTTGCTCGCGATACGAGGCAGAGAATGGTGGCGAAGAATTGGAGAGCCGGCAGTATTTGAGCCACCGGGTCGGGCCAGCCAAGTATTTTCCCCCTGCCGGCGAAAGCCATGCATGCTTAACAAAGCTTTCGAAAACGCAAGGCTCTGTTCCTGTGGTTCCACGGCCCCTAGTTCATGTTTGCGGTGGGTGTCAGCGCTGGGGTGGATTGGAGACTGGGCAGCCTCTGCTGGGTCAGCTGATCACAATGTCGATGGTTGACCCCAGCTTCTCATCCCCATCCCGTTCCACCCAGGATGAGGACAGTTAATGATCATGGAGCGGTCAAACTCGGAAGGGGAGTCCTGGGACCCGTATGAGGTTTTGAGCAGATGTTCCACAGCCAGGCCCCGCGACGAGAGCTATTTGGACCAGGCCTGAGGGTGTGATGCTATGTAATATACCGAGTCACACGCCCATGTCCCAGCAGAGTGGAACCTAACCGAGCCGACGGCGTGCGAATGGAATACATTGGGAAAATTGCCCTTTTCTTGTACTTCGGGCAGCCAGCCCCAAAGTCAGGATTTGGTGAGCTGTGCGTCCAGAGGGTCACATGAGGCTCCGCCAGTTGTGTAGCGCGCTGTGACCAGTCACTTCTCTGCTGAGCATGAGCAAATGCACTGGCTATGACTCGCCCGGTCCCGTCCACGGCCCCAGCAAGTGTCCTGCAATTGAATTGAGTTCCATGGTGCCTAGAAACAGCACCTCACCGCCGCCCCGCTTGTGCTTGGGGCCTTGGGATCGCTGGTGGGACGGCCGCCTTGATTCGTTTTCGGTTCGGCTGGCTTTTCCCCGGGCTGCTGTATCCAGAGAGAGCCATGCAACGATGGACTTGCTCCCAGGAGAAGTCGGTAAGCAGGGACGGGGTGGGGATAATTTAGACCGACACCTCTTACGTAGCTGTGAGGATACCCTCCTAGTCCCTCTTGTTAGCCGCCCCGAAGGCCCGACCAACATCCATTTGTACCAGGAGGCACCAATTTCCCGGAATGGATACGTGCCAGGTTTTTCTTCCCTTTACCACAAGCAGCGGCTTCACGGACCCGGGAGCACTAGCTGCTTTGCTGCTATCCCCGGAGGAGGTCCCCATGGTCATCGCCGCCGGGTGGCGTGGCCCCCTTGTCAGGCTCGACTTATACATGGAAATTAAATATATTAGAGAGACCGCACACACCTCTGCCCGCCCTCAGCCCTCCCGTCTGCCCGTTCCCATATGACGTTTGCGTGTCTGCCGTTGCTTAAGAACACACTCGTTCCTCCTCACCTTTCCTTTTGCTTCCTAGATCGCCTTTAAAGTTCAACACGCATCACATCCATGAATAACAACCCTTCACAACGTCCATCACCCTGTATGACGCTACTCCTCTCGACTGAAAACCTATAGTCCCTTGTACGACGCACTTGTAACGGCATACTTATTTTGTTTGCTTCTTCCGGTTTCCTTTTGCCTTTTCCGGCCGGGAGCAAGATAGCGAGCGATTGCTTCTAGTATCAGGGGACTTGAAGAGAAAAAGATCTACAAAGACTTGAAGAAATGCTCTCCTACGACTCTCCAGTCCCCGCCGCTACCAACGGCCACACCAATGGCCACGCCTCGTCGATAACGACCGAACACAATGGCAGCATGCCCTCCATCAGACCGAGGAAGCAGACGACCAAGCACCACCACATCTGGCTGGTTACTGGCCCTGCCGGGAGTGGGAAGACCACCGTTGCCGAGTTCCTCGCCGACAAGCTTCACCTCCCATACATCGAGGGAGATGCGGTATGCACATAACCTCCCAAACAAGAAAAGTTCTGGATAGCTAACACCCTCTGCCTGCAGCTCCACACCAAGGCCAACGTCGAGAAGATGAGGAACGGCCACCCCCTCAACGACGCGGACCGGTGGGACTGGCTCACCCTCCTCCGCGACGAGTCCACCAGGCAGATCGCCTCCGGCTCCGAGGGCGTCGTGGTGACGTGCTCGGCCCTCAAGCGCAAGTACCGCGACGTCATCCGCGTCGCCGCCTACTTCGACCCCCTCATCCGCGTCCACTTCATCTTCCTCGACGCCTCCGAGGACGAGCTGCTCCGCCGCGTCGCCAACCGCAAGGGCCACTACATGGGCGCCAACATGGTCCGCAGCCAGTTTGACATCCTCGAGCGGCCCGGCGCTGAGGAGGGCGACGTCATCAGCGTCGACGTCGGGCGGTCCCCGGACGAGGTGGCCGAGGATGCGCTGAGCCGCGTGCACAAAATCATCAGCAGTGACCGGTCATATTGAGCCCCCCCCTGCGAGGGTTACTTGTAGGGTAAAAAAACCGTGCGCAGTTCTATGGGAGGGGTGTCTTGGCGCTGGCCTCTTTCCCCTCACCAAAGGAAAAATTACCTGGGGGGTTACGTATCATTTGGGAAAGAAGACAGCAGCAAAAACGGCGGGCAAGGGGCGGTGTGATATCATCGGTGTTTGTTAAAGGGATACACTTGGGAGTTTTTGATTCGGATGGGATTTTGCAATGCGCCTGGAGTTGGGTAGTTTATGATTCGGATTCTGTCTAGACCGGCTGGCTTGCCTGTCTGGTCAGGATATTTTGGATACTCGGCGTCTTCTCTCAATCATCTTGTTGCCATCCTGAGACCGACTGCGGTACAAGCCACTGACACCGGCCCAGAAGAGAGAGCGGGTGTCTCTTTCCGACTCCCTGCTGGAGACGAGCGAAGGGGAGGATTGAGCCAAAGGAGGGAGGGGGGTGAATCAGGTGGCGGCCATGGCCGGAGGAGGTGGTGTGCACCGGTCGCTAATTGAAAGGGGTTTCCTTGGAAATTCCTCTGTGTTAGGTGTCGATTGCATAGGATGACAAGAAAATTCAATAATGATTATACCATCTATCGGAAGGACGTCCAGCTGACGGCAGGGGATCTTTTCCTCTTGTTGATTGCTTGGGCGTCCGTATGTCTAATCCCACTTCTGTCGAGCGGCATGTAGGTAGATACAACTGGAAGGGGCGGGATGCAAGGTCCTATGACTGGTGTTACACAGCATATCGTAGTCGGGGGAATGTGTACTTTCTGGCACCCTTGCGAGAGAGAGACGGGGTTGTGCAACCACCCTCGTCATCGGTTTAGCCTCCCAGGCAGTCGTCCTGCACCTGATGGCCAAGTGCAAGAGGGAAACATGCTTATTGCGAGGATGGCGGGATAACTGGTTCGCTCTACAAGTTCCCTACGTATCTGCAGGTGTACAGATCGAGTGCTCGGGCTGGGTGAGACACTCGGTGATATTGGCCTGCACATCTGTACATGCTTGGCATCGCGGATAGCGTCACGGCGTCCAAGACCTACCATCATGGTCCCCTCTCCGAGACCCCATGTCAAACATTGATGCAGGCTCAAAGCTGTTGTTACATAGTATTGTGGGGGGCGGGGGTTATTGGATTTGCGCACGCTGGAATGCAGGTCGGCGAGGTCGAAATGTGCAAACATTGCACACCGCATCGAAAGAGCAAGGTCAGATAGATACACGTCCAATGTACATGGTGGGAAAAAGGCATCACATGAATAACTGATGTGGCCAAAACCGGCGACATGCAGCGTATCTGCTGCTCCGAGGCGAAGGGATGCTCCAGGATGACCGGCCATTTTGTATGTATTCTTTTCACATTGTAGCTAGCCTGCCATCTATGCTGCAGACAGGCTGATTAACAGGCAGACCATGTCGCCGAATGCTACCTACCTCAGATGCATTACCATGACATCCGGCTCCTCCACCACTCTCCGCACCACATCGGCGGCCCGCGCCATTGTGGCTCCATCAATGACTCTGTGATCCGCGCTCCAGCTAAAGTTGCAGATTTGCTTCTTGACAACGTTGTCCTCCTCGTCGAATGCGGGGACGGTGCGCATGCGCCCGATGCCCAGTATGGCAACCTCGCGCTCAACAATGACCGGGCTAAGGTATGTGCCTCCAATGTTTCCTATATTCGAGACAGTAATGGTACCGCCCGAGAGGTCCTGGGGTGAGAGCTTGCCCTGGTTCGCCAAGCCCTGGAGACGTTGCAACTCCTCGGCGATGCTCAGGATGTTGAGGGCACCGACGTTCTTGATCACCGGGACGATGAGGCCCTGGGGTGTATCCATGGCGACACCGATGTTGTGCTGGGACCGGTGGACGAGGACGGGCTTGTTGGTCTTCTGATCCACGTCGACGCGGGCATTGAGACTGGGGAATTGGTAAAGTGCCAGCGAGACGGCCTTGATGATGAACGGCAGGTAAGAAAGTTTGGCAATCTGAGACCCGACGGCACTTTCCGGTGACTTGGTAAGCACCTTATTCAGGCGTGTGCGCAGGTCGACGAGCGATGAGAAGTCAACCTCGTCGGCGTAGAGGAAGTGCGGAATATTAAGAGACCGGGTCATCGTCTTGAACATCTGATGCTGTGTATTTGACAGTGCTACCGTGGTCTCTGTCTGGACTGTCGGTGTGTCGACTTGTGAAACTGATGAAGGTTTCGTGGCGGATGGAGGGGCTGAGTCCCTCTGCTGCACAAACTTGTAGATATCCTCTTTTAGAACGCGGCCATCCTTGCCTGTGCCGTAGATGTCATTAATGTCCACCTTCAGCTCCTTGGTCAGGTGTCTGACTGCCGGCGTAGCCAGAGATGCGCATTTGCCCTTTGGCGGGCGTGGCGGCGGCTCCGTCTCACCCACCGCCGCCTCAGGCGGAGCTGTGCTTTGTTGGGTTGACGATGATGGCGGTGTTGGGGCAGGAGGAAGATGTGGCACAGGTTCCTTCTCGACTCCCTCTGGACTAGTCAGAGCTTCAATGTCCACTGACTTGGCATCTCCCTGGATGTCAATGTCGACAAATGGCTTCCCGACACGGGCCATCTCACCGGCCTCATAGTACAGCTTTTTTACAGTGCCGGAGAAGCGACTTGTGATTTCAACCGAGGCCTTGTCGCTCTGCACCTCGCAGAGCGGAGAGAACTCTTCCACAGTTGCGCCGGGCTCGACGAACCATTGGATCACTTCACACTCGACGATGCCTGCATTTCGTGTCATGTTAGTAAAAAAAAAAAGTGACTGGGCGGGAGGAGTGGCATTGTCATCTCACCCTCTCCAATATCAGCGAGGAGTACTGGCTTTATAGCCCAAAGCCGCCTGGATTCTGAAAACCATCTTGTTTGATAACTCTGTCTCGTGTTGCCCTCAACCGAAAGCTTGGTAAATGATTTGGAAATGTGCCATTGCCTCCGCAAGGCGCGGGAGCCTCGCTGCAGAAACATTGCCGGGGTATATTCTGGATATGTATAGATGGTGATTGATGTAAAAGGTCCCAAAAAAGTAGCCGGAATAGAGTGTTTTGCACCACCAGCAGAGGTACTGGTCGATACTAATAAAGCATGAAGGGAGGCAGGCAGACACGATGAGGTTAAGAGGAGGAGTGGTTGCAAGTGCTTAAGCCGAGCGGATGGGTTTGGTCGGCATTGAGGAGAGAGTTCACGAGGCCCCGTGGCTAGCCGAAACGCCTCTGCCCGGTCATGATCCTTCCAATGACATGGGCCGGCACAAGCAAGGTTGGTGTGGCACAAGCATGCCTAGCATCCAGGGCGCTGCCCGCTATTAGTACCCCAAGAAGCAATGCCGCAAGGGCAAACTCTCCTGGTACGTCTTTAATTTGCCCATGTCCATCGGCCTGTTTGTGTCTGAGCGTCACTGAACGCGGAGAAGGGACACACCCAGGACACCCCACACCGATCGGGCTAGTCCCCTTTCGGCTGCCGGTCAATCAGACAAGTCTAACCTCAGCGAGCTCAAATCGACAAACCTCAAAAGCCTGCCCGTCACGTCACCGAGCGAAATCTTTGGCGGCACGGCCACGAGCCCATATCCACGACGGCATTGACCTGAACCAGTCTCGGCCAGTCCAGCTGAGACAAGCCAATACCTACTATGAGCCATGTTGTGTCTTCGTCCAGGAGGCTCGGCCCGACCCTGGCTGCCAATGCCATGATGCAGCGTCCGATTATGTGCCTCTTCTGCCAGCACCGGCGCACCTTCGCCGCATCCGCCATCCGCCACGCGAAGCCCGCCGCCGGTGCGTCCCTCGACCCCCAGAGCAAAATCAAGGGAACCCCCATCGAGGCGCCGCGGGGCTACGGCAAGCGCATCGAGGGCGAGTTCACCCCAAAGCCGCTGCCCAGGCCCATCGGGATGCAGGACCCTCCGCGCGCTGGCGAGAACAGTGGTGTTGACGGCCGAACCCTCCGCCAACGTCGGGACGACTTTGTGGACTATGACAAGCACCTTGTACGGCGAGAGGAACTGTAAGAACCGTACCTCACACGAGTCTCCGGAAATTATCTGCAGAAAGCTAATGGTTTGGGACAGAACTGCACAGCTCTCGAGGCCGTACTTCCGCGATTGGGGCAATCTCAAATTCCACGAGGGCAAGTCCTTCATTGCGCCGCCCCGCCTCTTCAAAGCCGAGCTCTCTCTCTTCTTCCCCAACTTCATCGGCCAGACGATCGAGAAGTCGTCCAAGGAGCCGAAGGACACCACCCCGGTCCTCTCCGGCAGGGCCTCCGTCGTGTCCTTCTTCAGCAGCCAGTGGGCCGAGAACCAGGTAAATACATGGACGTCCGAGGCCGCCAACCCAGAGCTGCACGCCGTGCTAGCGCAGAACGAAAATTTCGCCCAGATGGTGAGCATCAACTACGAGGACAACAAGGCCAAGGCGTGGATCGTCCGCATGTTCATGGGGACCCTCCGCAAGAAGTACCCCCAAAGGGACTGGGACAAGTACTTCCTGGTCCAAGGAGGCGTCACCGACGAGATCCGCGAGTGCATCGGCCTGCTCAACAGCAAGGTCGGGTACACCTATCTCGTCGACCAGCACTGCCGCATCCGCTGGGCTGGGAGCGGGACCAGCCATCCCGACGAGCTGGAGGGCCTGAACAAGGGCCTCGCTCGCCTGGCGGACGAGATCAGGAAGGAGGCCGCCCTGCCTGCGAGTGCGCGGGAGCAGCACCCGGGCAACAAGCGTGTTGGATAGAAACTAGGGTATATTTGGCTCTCTTCTTGTACACTATTCCGACTTTTTTTTTGTTGTAACATCGCGCTACTGCAGAACGAGCATATATACATTGGGGAATACCCGCGAGGTTGCTCCCATGCTGTACAATATTAATTAGACGCTGATACCCCCCTTAATAACGCCCATACCAGATGCTTGCAAGAAACCCAATAAACCAAAAGTAAAAATAAGTTCCCCCCACAGCCCGGAACCCTACGATAGGAACCAGAACAGAATGAAGCAGAACGCGATGAAGCAGCCCATGATAATTCCGTCCCGCCTCTTCTTCGCAGATATCCTGCCGATCAACGTGTTGATCCCAGGCACCTTGGCCGCGGCCAGGTTGATCCGTCGGTTGATGCTCGCAAGGGTTTCCCGCTGCGAGAGGAAGCTGTCGTTGATAGCGTACGCCTGGCTCAACACCCCGTCCACGACGCCGTGGCTGTTGTCGATGCGCCTGCCCTCGTCCGCCATGTAGTCCGCCTCCGCGGCCTCCGGGTTTGCCGTGCGGTAAGCATCGATGTCGGACCGGACGCTGGAGAGGAGGTTGGAGCGGTTGCGGGCATCCTCCAGCTTCGTGCGCAGGCGGATGAGGTCCCGCTTGTGGTCGGATAGCTTGTCGCGGAGTAAGGTGACGTTCTGTTGCTTGAGGGCGGAGGATGAGAGGGCCTGGTCGGAGTCGAGGAGTCGGGTGAGTTGTGAGATTACAGTAGCTCGCTATTCCAACAGTTAGCCGAGCTTACGACTACCCATCCATCAGGTTTCTAGTGTGTACCTTCTCCAGGAGCTCCTGGATCTGGATCTCTGTTGCGCGCTCATCGTCTGAAGGCTTAAGCGGGATGTCGGCCCCGGCGGCGAACTGCGAATACGTGTGGAAGGCCGTCTGGGTCTGGAGGTAAACGACGTCAGTAAAGTGGTCGCATCTCCCGTCAGATGCATCGGTGGCTCACATGTGTCTCCAGGTTCCGCGCCAGTTGCCGTAGCTGATTATAGCCTGCAGCGCCCGTTGGTACAGACATGGTGGTTGAAATGTGGATAGGATTCGTTGATGGAGGGAGGAAGCTCGTGAGGATTGCCTGTTGTCATCATCATCAAGTGCCGGCAGTTCCCGTTGACGCGCCACAGCTTGCACAGCCATAGCAAGGCCGCACCTCTCAGCCACAGCAACGAGTCCGGAAAATTGGCAGAATTACACACCGCCCAAACAACGACACACTTCCGGCGTGGGTCGTGTCGCACGTGACAAGCACCACAGAATTGCAAAAATTAGTACCTCAATGTCCAATCAGGGCCAGCAATGGACCCTGGATGGACCCACTCGCACATCGCACACAACCAAGCCCTAGGGCAACTTTTACACTCTTCTGGCAAACCTCTCCCAAATTCCTTTGAGGCAGCCCCATCGCGATATCTAGACGGTCCCGATCAACATCATATTACCTACGTCGACAAACTTCGCAACTCCCATCGAAGGAATATCAAAATGGTGAGTGACAAAAGCAGCCCCCAATCTTCATCACCTCGAGCAGAGAATCATTTCGGGCCCGTGAACGTGGCCAGCGGACGCAAGTTCACATCACCATACTTTTACCCCCCTCGAAAATTCGACATCGAGCCTCTTTGCACACGAAACACTCGCCCGCTGGCTCGCTGCGATCCCGCCCGTCACCCACCGATCATCTCTCTCTTCTTTGCTGCCATACCAAAATCCGTGGGAAGGACCGAATTGCTGACATGGTGATTTGTATCAATTAGTCGTCGGGCAAGGTTAAGGCAGTCCAGCTCTGGGACAAGAGCAAGGATGATTTGACAAAGCAGCTTGGAGAGCTCAAGACCGAGCTCGGCCAGCTCCGCATCCAGAAGGTCGCCTCTTCCGGCTCCAAGCTGAACAAGATGTGAGTCTCTCGCCCCAGACAAAACTCAACTTTTTTTTTCCCCCGGTGGTTGTAAAACTAACAATTGCTCTCCTCTCCCACAGCCACGACATCCGAAAGTCAATTGCCCGCGTCCTGACCGTCATCAACGCCAAGCAAAGGGCCCAGCTGCGTCTGTTCTACAAGAACAAGAAGTACGCCCCTCTCGACCTCCGCCCCAAGCAAACGCGCGCCATCCGCCGCAGATTATCACCCGAGGACAAGGCCCGCGTTCTGCAGAAGGCCAAGAAGCGCAACACTCACTTCCCTCAGCGCAAGTTCGCTGTCAAGGTACGACCTTCTCCTTCTCTCCCCGGCGCACGGCAAATCATCTGACATGCCATCTGTTTTAGGCTGCTTAAATATCATCCGCAGTGCTTGGAGTAGGATTTGGGTAGAGGGGGAATCGGGGTTTGGAGGCGTGGCGTGCTTTTTCTCTGAACACAAAAAAAAGAAAGACTTCGAAATCTGCATCGCATGGCTCATGGGAATCTCGGTCTGACTTGTACTTATTTCCCGTTTAGGGCCTCGCTCGGGGACGGGCTTGTCTAAGGTAGTCGGCGTGCTATTCTTGCCTGCCCATAAAATACAAATGAGGTCACGATCAAGATCATAAGTAATGTATTTGATCAATGCAAGGCTTAAAATATCTAACACGTATGGAGTTCATGTGAGGACGTTCGGTGGGTCAATACACTACCCGTTCATCTGCGAATATTTGAGTGACTACGTATCTTCGTTCAATGAATTTTCGTGATTCTCCCTCAAGCATGGAACTTTTTTTCTCGCTTCCTTCCTTTGATTAACTGTCAAAACTCTTGGGTATTTTCTGTAGTTGTGCAGGCATGCCATCCACCTGCAACCATGTCCGATCCCCCCCCAACGCCGCCTTCCGATTCCCTATGTACGAAACCAACCAAGACGCCCATCGTGTTTGTCTGAAGATTTGTGACGAATGCAGGTGATCCTCCCTCGAAATGCAAACCAACCGCCAAAGTGTGTATACATAACATTTTCACCCCTATGTCCTGCCCTAACCCACATGGGAAACCATTACTGTTATTTGCCTTGCCAATCCATTTCTATGCTTTAGTGCTTTGACAACCAAAGCAATATGTGGAGGCGAAAAGAAAAATATCGATTATAAGTCATCAACAATTCGTATCTTCGTATCTGCCGCCATGTCTTGAATTTCACAAGATATGGTGATTAAAGAGGGTCACTCGTTGCCATTTCATCGAGAAAGCCATGCTGCTCGCTGCTCTGAAGCAAAGGCTCCGGGCTAGTAGAGGGGACACCAGTGGGGGACGGAGCAGAACTGCTCCCAGTGCGGTGTCGAGCATGACGAGCATGGCGCCTCCCCATGTTGGCTTGCTTAGAAACCGGCTTGGCATTCTTCAATGCCTCGCTCACAGCCTCTGGCATGTCTTTGTGGTTTGAATTCAAATGCCGCCTCAGTTGATCCAGGCGATTGAAGTCTCTTTTGCAGATGTCACACTCATACATGCCTTTGTCATTGTGAATCCGACGGTGCTTTGTTAGGTTAGATGATTCTCTAAACATGGCACCGCAAACGTCGCACTTCAACGGCTTTTCTCCAGTATGGGTTCGGTAATGCATGGCTGCAGCTCAATTAGTCACCAACCCATTTACCAGGGACGGAGGACGGGACATGGCAAACAGCCAGTGTAAGCACAGAGGATACATACTCAAAGCGCTACGCTGCTTGAATACTCGATTGCATTCTGGCCAATCGCAAACATAAGGGCACTCGTTGGTGTGAAGCCGCATGTGTTGGTCTAGAGCTTGCTTTGCAGACAATTTCACACCACACACGGGACATTCGGTAGGTTTCACTATAATTATATTAGTGTATACCATCTCGTGGTAATCGCGGCACTTGGCGGTTACTTACAGCCTGTATGGACTTGTAGGTGTCGATTCAGCTTGCCGCGCTGACTGAAACTTCCATGTTCGCGTTTGCAATGCTGCCACATGCATGGGTATCCACCATCGACCCTTTGCATAGTCTTGACATGGTCTCTTCTGCAATGCGCATCCAACTCCTCGCTGTCATTGAAATGCTTCAGGCATACCTTGCCTGATCCTGGGTCTTTCCAAAAGCATTGGTAGCCGTCGTCTTGGTCTATTTGCATTCCGTCGACTTCGCCTTCCGAAGCTTCTGTGGTCTTCTGGAAAATGGACAACTTGGAATTAACATCTACCGGGGGCGGTGGTGTTGCTATTGTGTCGGGTGTGGGCATAGGGGATGTTCTCACGGAAGCATTAGTTCCAGAGGAAACGGATGTCGATATTGCCCTAGGCTTGATTGAGTCGTTGGCAAAGTTGAACGAGAAGAGGCCCGATGTATGTGTGTTAAATGAAGTCTGAGGCTCTTCAAGAACAGTATCAAGTGTTGAAACGAGATTGGCAGTGTTGATGCATGGCGCAAACCCGGGGATATGGGATAGCAGCGTTCTATGCTGAGTCAAGACGTGTTTGTGGTACATGGCTGGATCTTGGATGGGGAATCCGCATTGAAAGTCCGAGTCTGTGTTCAAGAAGGTGCTAAAGTCGAGGCCATCGTTACCTGTAATTACAGGTAGTGTACATCTTGATAATGACAGGTTGGGGTTGTCGACTATGCAAGACTGGCTATGGTCAACCTGGCTCTGATTCGGATCGTGATAGTGAAATATGTGGCTGGCAAATGCCAGACCAGGATTCTCTTGCCAGAACTGTTCTTGGAAGTTATAGTCGGCCGCAGGGTCGGCCGCGGTATCCATCCGCATCCCAGTGCTGTTGAAGGGCCGACCCAATTGTAATTCGGGTGCATGGTGTGCGCACGCTGAATGGCCATGACCAAAGTGGAATTCATTGCCAAAGGATGGGTGCAAGTGGCCACAACACCCGCTGAAGTCTGGGAGGGTCGCCGAACCGTTGTCCCCAAAGGAAGTGAGCGCTGCGGCAGCGGCGGTCTCGGCCCTGGTGCCAATGGGAAGCGATACATCGCTAATACACTTTACATCTGTGCAAGGATCATGTGCGGCTTCGCAAGCCTCGTCGACACAAAGGCTTTCCACACCACAGTCATCATCGGCGCAGCATATGCCAGGGTGCTCTTGCGCAACACATTCATCGTCAACACACACTTGGCCCTGTCCGTCCACACCGCAGTGGCTCGGACAACTGCCTACACAGGAAGAGCTGCAGGATGCGGCATCGTCTCCAACGGCGGGGCGGGAGACAGTGCGGGCCGTTGTATCTAAACCCCACGCGCTGAGGTTCTCGTCGAAGGCTTCGCGAACATCGGCATTTCTAGCCTCCATCGAAGTCTCGAGAGATGGATCTATCATCTTGGTAGAGTGGTCATGGTCTAGATTTTGGGATGAGGATTGATGTAGAGGATTTTGGCTCAAGAATGGGCCGTTGTCGAAGGCAGTGCCGTATAATGACCCTTGAGTTTGGGAGAGCGAAGTGGTCGGGGTCGAAGACACGGCTGGACCGTGGGCTAAAAGGTTGTCAAAGTCTGGCATCATGTTCATGAAATCATTTTCAGATTCTGGATCTTGACCCCAATGACCGCTAAAGGCCATGTTCGGGTCATCCATCGCAACAGGATGGTTTGGGCGGCCTGGAGAGATCAGACAGCGCAATGATTGTCGAGGTCAGTCGTCCACAGGCGGGGTGGTGGCGGCGGGATTCTGACAAGAGGAAAAGAACTGTCTCAGGAAAAGGATGACAGTGCCCCGAGTCTAGTCGTTTTCTGGGAGACAGCGGTGGAAAGGATGGGCAGTGAGCAGTCAGGATTCGAGGCTGGAGTAGTGGCCCTTGCTTGATCAGGTCGAGAGCATGGCAAGGAAAGTCATGGCCGCAACAACCTGCTCGAGCTAGGAAAGATGAAGATGCAGAGCAAAGTGGCCTGCAGCTCGTCTCATAGCCCGACCAACCGGCAGGGTCCAAGCAGTTCCCAACTTCGCGCAACAATTCTCATCACCACCCCAAGGACCTCGAGTGACGGGGCAGGTACCTCTACCAGCAATTTTAGGTGCAAAGGTACATTTCACCCGCTGTGTCGTGGGGCAGAGGCAGGTGCTCGTGAGAACCCTGATGGACAACCTGCCATTGACTGAGGGGCGCCAAGGACGGTTCAATTTGTGGGGCCTTGACTCCAAGGAGACCCACAACGCCGCATCACATGTAGCAGGTAGCTGGCGGTTTTGGCCCAGCCCAGTCAGCAGAGACGCACCAATCTTGCCTGTCAGCCTATGTACGTGCAACAATTACCAAACCTGCCTGCCTATCTCCTGCCTGCGTAAGCTATGCGTTTCTCCAGCCACACATCAGCCACACCATCGACAACCTCGAGCTCTCCTACCATTCTTTTTCGTATTAGCTCGCTGCATGGATATGAATGAGTGAACAAGGACTTAATAATATTTGATTTTAATATCGAACCATAAAATGGCAAGCACAGAAACGACCAACTAAGGCACTGGCGAACAGTAGTACTGATACCTACTAGTCCGGGGCACTATCAAATACCGCCAGCAATTACTTCCAACGATGGGACGAAGCTGCAGCACAGAGCTCAAGCCAACTGCCCACAACCAAGACATTGCTGCCTTGCCAAGGAAGTCCCTCCTGAGAGCTTTTATCCGCCCACAATCCCCACGGCAAAATTGTTATCGATATAGCTAGCCGGTAATACCTCCAAGTCAATATCGCCTCCTTGACGTAATCAGCACACAATCAAAGTGCAATCATGTCAAGCCCAGATCAACCCTCATGGCCTACCCTGAACCCATCCATTCACCAACCACTGCCCATCCGCCGTATTGACTGCAATCCCCTCTCCTGCAACCCATTTAGAACCTAGTAGCTTCGAAGATCACCTTTACATCATCGGAACGGCCAATCATTTCTTAACCCAAACCCACATTTGGAAGTCCAGCTGTGTGGGTAGCTCCCGTGTTGCTGCAACTCTGCATACCGACACCATAGTGCTTGCGCAACCTCCGTTCCCTCCCCCGCATTCTCTCTATTTGCCCCCCCCGAGGAACCTCGCTCCTATCCGCCTTTCCCGTTCCCCAGGCATCGCCAATCACCATGGGCAACATCTGCGGAAAGACCGAGTCAGACAATTTCTCCTCACCGGGCCGCACGGTCGACTCTGTCCCACCTGATCCATCTGTCCCGAAGACCGCCCCCGTGCCGCGAAAGGTCGGAGGCCCGCCACGCACTCTCGGAGGCGGTTCTGACAGCCTGCCGAAGCCCACGGCTGGGACTGGGGACACCGAGGCCCGCAGGAAGGCTGCCGAGGCTGCAGAGGTAAGAAAGCCCTCAAGTGAAAGTCTCCATCATCACGTCTCTCACTGCCCATGCATCTGTTATTATTTTAAATCTTGGGAACACTTATAAAGTCTCCCCTGCGCTACTATCAACACGCCCGGTTACGCTAATGCAGGTGTGGTGTGATATGTAGGCACGCGCAAAAGCAGCAAACAAGCCAGGTGGTAAACTGCAGTCACAGCTGAACGCGCAGAAAAAGCAAACCAGAACAGACACGCTACAGGAGAGCAGCCACCAGGAGTTACGTTCACGCGAAGCAGATGAGGCCGCGAAAATGCGAAATTGGGACTGAGCATGAGGTTCACAGGAGATGATGCATATAGACCGGGGCAAGGTGAAGTTGTGGGTGTTCACACGCGTGGTTTTGGAGTTTGGAGATGTTCACTTCTTGCCTTTGATCAACTGACATTTGTTCCCTATTCTTTTCCTTCTTTGGGTCACACCTGTTCCCATTTATTGTTTTTTACTTCCCGCCTAGAACCCTCCGTATCTAGAATCCAATAAAACCTCTTCTACACGAGGTTTGATTGCTCATTACACCATTCCCGTGAATAGAAGGAGGAGCTCTGGAACAAGTGTTCGCACACTGTCCTTCTATAATATAACAACTAACGCCTGCTGCTCATCAATTTTTAAAATTGCCGTGCTTAACTACACTGGCACATTGCACGAAGAAGGAAAGCATAGGAAAACTGAGCAAGCAGAGTTATGTGACTGTATAACGTCCACTGCCAGGTGCCCTGTTGTCCGCATCTGCGGCCGCAATCGTACCTTCTCTCAATAACCTTGTCAATTCCGTCAGGGCAGAGCTCACCACAACCTCTGTATCACCCTCAATGAGAATGTACAGCTTGGGTTCGGCTCCCGAGGGGACTTCCTTGCCTGGCGGATAGAAATTGCCCTTGGTAGTGATAGATGTCCCAGTGGCATCCAGAATTTTGGAGACGTTCGTCCGATTGGTGACTGCCCATCTGGCCTTCTGGGGGAAGTCGTTGATCTCCAGCGTGGCATGGAAAGCACCGGCGTCAGGCCCTTTATTATCGATGGGTTGGCCAGCCCGAAGCTGACCCGCCTTGCCGAGACGGCTGTTGATGGCACTAACGGCCGAGCTGACCTTGTCCAGGGGATCCTTACCCTTCTCTCCGGTTGGGGCAGCTGAGACTTGAGCTGTTTTTGGATCTCCCCCTTCAGCCTTGGACGTCTCGCGGGATTGAATTGTCGAGGAGGCAGCCCTGATGGCGTCAAGAGCCTTCTCAACCTTTTTATCGTCCTCCTTGTCCTTGTCCTTCTTGTCTTCCTTGACATCTTCCTCTTCACCTTCGGCCTTGTGGGTCTTGCGCTCTCGAAGGCGTGCTGCTTCTCTCTCCTGGTCGAGCCGATCAAGACCCTTGCCACCAAAGCCAGATGTATCCTTCGCCTTGCCCGACTTTACCTTCTCGCGATGTGATTTCCTCATTTCGGCGAGATCGTCGGGAACGGGCTGGCCACTTTGTTCGAGCGCTTTAGCAATACCCGGCGCGCAGTTCTCCTGGGTGGGGGTGATAAAGGTGACAGCAACACCTGTGTTACCTGCTCGGCCAGTTCGTCCTGCTCTGTGGACATAATCTTCCAAGTGGTTCGGGGCATCGTAGTTGATAACAAGCTTAAGTTGCTTGACATCCAGGCCTCTTGCTGCCACGGACGTGGCAATCAAAATGGGAACCACGCCTTTCTTGAAGTCTGAGATGGTGGAATCACGATCCACTTGATCCTTGCCACCGTGAATAGACATGCAAGGGTAGCCTTTGGTCATCAATTCTTTGAGTAAGTCGTCGGCCTTCTCCTGACGCTCGACGAAGATCAGGGTTCTGGCATCCTCATCTCGATCATACAAGTCGCCTAGGAGCTCGAGTGTGCGCACGAATTTGCTAGTCTCCTCGCGAACTTCCACAATTTGCTCGATTTCTTTGGCCACGACGCTACGACCGCCCACAGTGATCTCAACAGGACTCTTGAGTACCTTTTTAGTCAATGAGTCAATAATACGGGGCATAGTGGCCGAGAATAAGATGGTTTGCCGGTCGGGTCGCATATTGGCAAAAATCTTCATTACTTGAGGCTCGAATCCCATGTCAAACATGCGGTCAGCTTCATCTAGAACGACGTATGTGACTCGCCTGAGATTGGTGACACGGCCTTGATTGGCTGCTAGAAGATCAATCATTCTTCCAGGGGTGCAGACAATGATCTCTGCTCCACGCTTAAGTTCGGCTATTTGTTCGCGGATAGGCGCACCTCCATACGCACACACAGACCTCAAGCCCATCGACTTAAGGAAAGGTTTGCAGTCTCTGTGGATCTGGGTCGCTAGTTCTCTGGTAGGTGTCATGATGAGAGAAATCGGCCCATCATTTTCTTTGAGAGGCGGCTGGTCTTTGATGTGCCGGAACATGGGAAGCAGGAAGGCAACTGTCTTTCCAGAGCCAGTCTTTGCAACGCCAACAACGTCGCGACCGGACATCAGCGCTGGAATAGCTTGCATCTGAATTGTAGTGGGCTTCTCGTAACCCAAATTGGCGATTACATCCAATGTTTGGCTTGTTAGGCCACATTGCGCCCATTTCTGAACGGGTTTCGGGACGTTCTTCCCGTTCACCTTGATACCGTCCAATTCGAGTCGCAAATCAGCTACCTCGGTTTCTGATAGAATACTAAGCTCCGCAGGTTCAACCCAGAAATCCTTTCGGATGGGCTGGATTTCGATTTTGGTGTAATCCACAGAGGGAATGTCTTTCTTCTTTCGTTTTTGTGTTATGGAAAGTAGGGCATTGGCATCGCGACTCTCGTCTGGATCAACACCAAACTCATCCTCACTAAAGTATGCCTCGGGCTCTTGTACCTTATTCTTGGATGATTTGAGGACTGGCTTGACAGGCGCCTCTTGCAAGTCGGCCATGAAAGCATCTAGAGGATCCACCTCATCCTCTTCATCAACGTCCATTTGCTGGTTATCATTCTCCTGCAAGGAAAGTGTACCACTAGCATCGCCGTTGGTATCTGGAGCATCTTTAATTGAAGTGTCAGGTCCCTCGTCGGTGTCCATTTTATCAGCTTCGGGTTTCTCGGTGTGATTCTCGGCTTGCAGTCTCCTTTCATGGGCGGCCCGGGCAGCAGCGGCGGCTTCTTCCTCATTCTCCGCAAAAATATCGCCGTCGGATTCATCGTCATCATCTTGGTCTGCGTACGGCGTATCATCGGCTTCAATGGGTAGCGTGGGTAGTTTGGTCAATATTCGCTTCGTCGTCACTTCTTCGTCAAGATCTAGCTTTCGCTTTGTGGTAGGCTTGTCGTCGTTGTGCGACTTCCCGAAACCAAAACCACTTGTCTTGGTGCGATTCGCAGGTAGTGCAGACGCTTTGCAATCGGTGTTAGCAAGATCCATGTAATTCGGGGGATGCTGAAAGCAGTCATGCTTACCAGTGGTGGACTTGTTCAATGGCCCCCCCGGTGGTTTTGTCTGCACATTGACAGATCCTAGAACAGATTGAGATGCATCAAGAGAGCGGGCAGCCGACTTCTTCGCAATCGCCTTGGGGTCGAACTTTCCTGCGTATTGAACAGTAGGGCTGTTAGCAGAAGGTGATGCATTGCCCGATTCGGTCCTAGTCAAAGGAGACGCGCCTCCAGACGCAGGTGCAGGAGAGTCGCCTGTCACCTTCTTGTCCATCTCAGCCAATAGATTTCGAGTCTGGTGAGGGTTGACCTCCTTTTGCTTCTGTGATACACTCTCCTTCTTCTTCTTCCATGCTTCAAGCTTGGCCAGTCGCTCAGCTTTCTTGTCAGCCTCGGATTTGACCTCGGGCTTCGGTTTCTGAGGAAATAAAGTATAATTAGCCATGCGCCTAACCAATGGACCGTCTCGACGAACCTCGTTGTTGCTTGCTTTGGCACCATCTCTCACAGGTGATCTTGCCCCGTTGTCTCGTCGGCTGCGGTTATGGGAATCGGGACCACCATCACGGCGCGTGTTTGCCCTGTCACGGGAATCGTCCCTTCTTCGATAGCCTCTATCATCATCGCGGCTGCGTTGGGGTCGTCGGTCAGGAGATCGGATTCTATCGTCATATCGATCTCGAGATCTGCGACGGTCCCTATCGCGATAGTCGCGTCTGTCGCCACGGTAGTAAGTATCGTCTCTGCGGTCTAATGACCGATCTCGTCTCCGGTCTCGTTCTGGATCCCGATCCCGGCCGCCATGACCTCTGTGTCTGTCCCTGTCCCTGTCGCGTTCGCGTTCACGATATCGATGCTGTTGAGTGAGGATGCTGTCAGAATAAAGACCTTGGGGGCTCCTATAGTTGCGGCTTCTCACATCAGGGCTGCGCGACCGTGATCGACGGCGGTCGTCGCGGGGGTCCCTATCTCGTCGGTCGTCATCCTTGCGGTGGCGACGAGAGCTATGGTGGCTGCCTGCAGGACTTGGTGAGCGCGAGTCTCTTGGCCGAGCCATGGTCTGTCTTAATATGTCCCAGGTCTCGCGGGCTCAGCAAGGAGTTCTACAATGGTGAGCAGTACTCTTTTCCGTTCCGTCCCAGAAAATCGGCCGAGGCCATGCGACCAAAAACGACCCGCCACTAAAAAAAAACAATTAAAGAGGCGATCAGAAAGAATATGAGAGCACGGGTAAGGCGCAAGAATCTAGAGTATGTAGAAAACAGGGCCCTCGTCTGTTGCCTGATGACGATGCAAGAAGTTAAATGGCGTTGTGGAAGTGCAGGCAGAACTTCTGGCATTCTCAGAATTGATTCAACTGGTCGAGCCGATAACTCAGGCAGAGTGGACGGAGGCTTAGCCGTTTTTGGCAGCCGCCCCCAGGTACCCACCTGCCTGGCAAAGTTGCGCTAGTCCAAAAAGGATCTCACTCGCTTGCTTCAAAGCTTAAGTTTCAAACACATCTGATTGAAAGCGCCCTCTGCTCTGCTTATCAGATTCCACGCCCGCGCCATTGGATGGGCAAGGGTTGCTACTAGTATGGCTGGTCTTGTAGGATACGCAAGTAGCGACGAGGACGAGGAAGTCGAGCAGCCACAACAGATTCAAGTATGTTCCTTTGCAATTGAACTTGCCCTGCTGAAGCTTTGCACCATTGACACAATCTGTAGCCAGTTGGTAAAAAGCCATCTCCAGAGGCCGCCGCAGCCCCGGAACCGCTGCCACCAATTGATGGGAGCGGTAAGTTTCATGGAAATCCAACTCATTCAAGCACCTTCAATGAAGAAACTGACAAGCCTGAAAGCTAGGAATGACCCATCAGAACAAGCCCAGGTTCCGAAGGATGCTCCATCTACTGAGGATAAGGGCAAGGTGACCATTGGCCCTATTCTCCAGAATGACACCCCATTAGGACCCAGTCTTCCTCAGGTGGGAGACTCATATCCGGAGCCAGAGAATGATGCACTCGATGAGGCACCAGGCTCACCTTATTCAGCGAACCGGGCAGCGTTGCATGATCTCACACTCCCCTCCATCCCTAACATGGACATCCCCCCATCACCGCCAGGATCGCCAACGGAGACGACCAATAAGAAATTTGAGCAGTTTATACATCTGAAGAAGAAGGGAGTTCATTTCAATGCGAAGCTGGAAACCTCCGTGGCGCTTAAAAACCCAAGCTTGGTGGATAAGCTCATGGCCTTTGTGGATATTGATGAGAAGTCTCAGTATGACACCACACTGCCGGCGGACTTGTGGAACCCCAAAGGGTTCCCCGACTGGGCGTACCGGGACAGCCTGAAGAAGAGCCAAGATAAAATTGCACGGGAGAGGGAGTCGGAGAAGGGTTCCGGCACCAGGACTGCGGTAGACTTTGTGCCAGCCGTTGGGTTGGGGACCGGAAACTCTTCAGCTGGGCTCGTCTCAAGGAGTGAGAAGCGGGAGGGTGGATGGTAATAGAACTTATTTGGGTGGAAGCAAACACGGATCAAATCACAAACTAGAGCCAAGTCGATCACTTGGTTCAGTTGTATGGGAAATGAGAATGCATTTTTTGAGCAATGGAAGATGTCCTGATTTACTCCTCCGTTTTCAAGGTGAGAAAAGTAGATGAACAATACAGTATTTGTTAAACTGATTGATAAAGTGATTTCTAGGACACCCCTTCAGAAAAAGCAAGGTGGCAACTGGGCGACATTGAAATTGATCATACTTCTCGAGTCTGTGACCGGTAGCTTTATAATATTGAGCGCGAATAACAAAATAAATAAATAGCCAATACATTGTGAATTATGAATTTTTTCTTATATTGTTGCATTAAATTCGTTATTGTAGAAAGTGCTTTGCTTATACCTGCTTTTAGATTTGATGGCTCATTTCTTCTGTCTAGTCGTCGTCGTCGAGAGCTTGCCCCAAACAGTCTCCGCGAATATCCGAAAAGACTTCCGCTCATTTGACTTCGAGCCCGGTCGTAGAGATTGAGATGGTGTATCTCATGTGCGAGAGATAGCAGGTATTTGATAATGAGGACCTCATGCCAGAGTTGTTAAAAAGAAATATACCTAGCCTTGATGGCGATCCGTCCCATCGGCTGAACTTATCGATAGTCATGGCCTCGATGTAAGAGAAAATCCTTGTAGAATATTACGAACAACGATGAATGGATCCTCCTGAGAGAGACCATGTCAAAACAACACATTGGAATTCATGACACAAAACCAAAGCCGGTCAATTTCAACCTTTGAAGCTGCTTGAATGGCTAAAAGAAGGAGGGCTCATCTTGTGGTTAGTCAATGTTATTATCGTGGTGTCACAAGTCCTCAAACTTGTGTCCAACCTTGCCAGCTAAATGCATGCTGATAATGTTGGTCAACAGAATAAACAGAAGGAAGCCTTTTAATTTCCTGTTTCATAGCAGCTTCGTATGCCCGATTTCTATGTATTCTAGAGCCGGCACATCCTAGCTATCCTTCCGTTATCGAGGTATCATAAATTAAGAACAAAACCCCACGACATCAGCTTGGCCTTTTGCTAATATATGGTTGCCAATGCCGGAATATACAAAAGCCTCATCATATTTACGTTGCCTTTCTTTCCTCTGCTTCGTATTCGAGCCCTGCCATGCTTAACGTACTTATCAGTCGGTACAGGAGACATTCACTTTGAGGGAATCCTTGATTATTTGACCAATATTGACCTCGACAGTCACGTTGGCGTTTCCGAGAGCGGTAGCAAAGTAACTGAGACTTTGACCGTTATTCATGACGGACTGGCCAAGCATCTTGAGGGGGATGACGCCAGTCTGGCAGTACGCTGGAGATTGGACCAATTGCAAGATGCCAACCTGGTTAAGACTCCCTTGGATGTCATAAGTGTTGTTTCCAGGAGCTAGGAGCACATTGTCCATGGTGATGTTCCCGTACTGAGTATCGCCGATGAAGTTGGCAAATGTAATATTTCCCTGGATGAGAGGTTAGCCTAATTCTTAACATTGCGATGGACACATTTCGAGTTGCCACTCCTTTTGTAGGTGTACCGATGCCCAAACCCGTGTCTTGTCATGGAGAGATAGTGGAGAATGATGTGATGCCCAAAAAAATAAACCACTTACAATATCAAGGGTGAAATGGGAGGCGTTGGGAACTCTCGCCTTGCCCCAAAAATTGTTGCCCTGACTGTCCTTCTGGAGAGCCACCCTGCCTTCGAGAACCTCTAGGCCATTGAAGTGGTTGAGGCCCTTGATGTCGAGCGTCTTCTTGAACGTGACGCCGTACTTGCGGTCTAGGCCGGAGGGCTTGGCTTTGGTATCACCCTTGATAGTGACGCGCAGGGTCTCGTTGCTGGCGAACCAAACGTTGAACTGCGTGAAGGCATCCATGTCTGCGATGTTAAGCGCCTGGCTTGTATTGACCGCCAATAATTTCTCGGCCGAGGTTTTGGGAAAGTCGACGCTGGCGAAAGGTCTCTGTCCTTCTGCGTCCTCCAGGTACATCTCTCCGACAAAGGGGTCGATGTCGGCATGGATACTGCCATCTGTGGTGATTGTGGAATTGATCTCCAGGCGATAGGCCTCGCTCTCGGTATCGAGGACGTTGACGCCTTGGATCTCGAGCTTGGCGTCATTGATTTTATTTTGGGCGATCTTCGGAAGACCAACAAAGATGCTATGATTTCAGCGTTAGTTTGGGAGAGGTCGGATTATACGATATTCAACTGTAAGACACTGGCGACAAGGAGGTGTGACATGGCTGGTTGATTCACTTACACTAGGCACACGACGAGAACGACAATGGCGATGACCACAAGGAGATACACCCACCAGAAGCGCTTGCAGTGTGACATACATCTGCGCTTCCTGGTTGGTTTGAGTGTAGGGCTGACATTCTCGATCTCACGTCCCTTCACCTGCTCAGTTTTGTCATCCATGTTGAGATGTATTAAACCTTTACTGCGGTTTAAGAATCACAATCTTGGAGGCAGCGTTGTCTTGATATTACAGCAATGAGCAATGAGGATGAGCAGTGACGAGAGGTTGGTGGACGTGATGGGGAGCAACAAGATGAGAGGTGAGGTCAACGAACAGGGGACGATGTGTGGCAGATCAGGTCAATTATATATCTACGTTTCCTCCCACCGACGATGCTTAAGAACAATGCGGAGAAGTGGAAGAGGGGAAATGGGATGTGGGCGAGAGGAGGGAAGGGGTCCGAAGGCATCAGATGATAGCCCCCTGCTTCGACACCAGTGCTCAGGCATCTAATAGTTCAAGCTAATGTCTGGCTCACCGACAAGGTTTGATTGAAGTAGGTGTGGTCAAAAGTGCTTGAGAGAACGAAGCAGTAAAATTTGTTGCCAGGCATCTTTCAGCCAGCGAGCAGGCACAGGAAACCCGTTGCCACACAGCACAGCTCTGCTAGACCCCGGACTCAAGATCGGCCAATTAGTGCATATGACATACTGGCATCTCAGAAAAGACCAATCGTTGGGTGTTGATGGTCAGTAGTGGGTGTGCCACAGCCGGGGTTGGATGCCAGAAGCGGAAGACCCCCGGACGCTGAACCCAGTGGCGGAGGTTATGCTTCTGGTAGGAGATGAGATGGGTGTGTTACTTTCGAATACCTAGCTCATGACCAACGAAACCGTGCATGGCTCTGCCTTTGTCCCGGCCCGGGATGGTACTGCGTCGGTACCACCCCGCAAAGATGGTGTAATGGATGCACCTCTCCCTTCGACAGGCTGCAGGGATACATATTGTTGACGGGAAACTATGCTGTACATTGAAGTCAAGTGAACTAGATAAAAAGGCGATACTCGACATGTTTCGAGTTAGCTATATGCCATCCAACATCAATGCATAGACAACCTCTCACACCTGAGTCTTTGACAAGTATTGTCTCATCTTGTTAATCTTTGAGAGCGGAAAAGGCCGATCAAGATGCCACCATTGGCCAATGATCCCTGAACGCTGTAATTACATGCCTTACAGCTGGCTGTGGAGAACCAACAAGCCAAGCCGATGCAATAACGGCTGGCTTGCCCCTGCACCTCGGTTTCTTGTGATGATGGATATCAGCGGCTCCGAGCACATGAAAGTCAATTCACCATATTCCGCCTTGGAAACGTGGGAAAGGAAGGGGAAAAAGGCCAAGTCCCCTCTCCCCGCACAGCATCCGTTGCCGAGACTGTGGAGAGGATCCTCCTCCATATTACTTGGCAACTTGGTCTTGCGATCCTGGAGAAATATGGGGTATCCGGGCTCTGGATGCCGCCCCGGATTATTATCGCTGGTAGGGCCTGCGAAGGAACATTCGCCGCTCTTTTCCATTAATTTACCTATTTTCCCTTTAGGTAGGTAGGTAAGATAGGCAGCCGGGAATTGATGAGGCAACAGGCTCTCATGGAGGTTGTTTTGGTAGTAATTGGAGGGACGAGATTCTTCGTAACAAAGCAGGTGGTACACTTATTAGCGGCTGTTTGGGGTGTGCCTTCCCTTCCACTGTCATCTTGGTTCCTTCCCGCCTGGCGATCGCTGTTGGTCGCCACCACGACGGATGTGATACTGCATGCAGGCTAATGCAATGGCAGGAGCGCCCGGCACACCTGGCGGGCAGCCAACAGAAACAGCTCATCGTGTCTGCCGTTTCCCGTTTCGGCCGACATCACACGACATCGTTTCAATCTTTCCAACATCTTACCCAGACCACCGGGCCATGTGCTTGTGGGCTAGAAAAACCTGATTGAGCTTGTACAAGTGCTTGCTCTCGCCAAATCATGTTGCGCCACCGAGATTAGCTTTGGTCTTTGAGATCGTGTGAAAAAAATTCCAATCCTTCTCCCCTAACCGCTTTTACCGTTCTCGCCGCATCAAGGTACCATTTTCAGCTGCCCACCAGACAAGGGGAAAGGTAAATCTCAATACGAACAAGGCTACGCCCGATGTTACCCCCTCGGCATTTCCAGATATTACTGCAGCCCAATTTTACATGTGCAACTCAACCACATTGTTGGACCCGGCCTGCACCCTGGCTTTCATGCTGGACTGTTGTGCCTCGACCTCTCCAATGATGCCCCTGGCATCGAGTTCACTGATAGCAAACTAATCCACAATGGTGCCTTATTGAGGGGGAACCACGTGCAGTTCTCAACGGGCGTTGAGATGCGAGCCGCGATGTGGTTCACTATCCTCGTATGTGCCATGCGGAGTCGATGACAAGAAGCCCTCCATCGACTCCTCTGCGGTACTATGCTAGGGCCAGTCCAAGTAATTTGGGAGGAACAATGAGTCTATATCCACCAACTTAATGTTTGGCTAGACACACTGTGACGCCTTCCATTGTGGCAACATGCCCAGTACGAGAAAGAAACTGTCGCTAGACCTGCATATTGAATAAAAAGGCGACCAATGTGCGGCTGCGTCGGGAGGAAGTACCCCTTTACCTGCCCCTAGCCATTGTCACCGTGTCGCTGCATGGGAGAGCCACGACGATCGCCCCGGAAACTAAATCTGATGACCTCGGACAGTTGAAGTTGATCGATGGGGATCTGAACACGCACGAGGGCTTCCAGGGACCTCTCCACATCCTCAAGAGGGAATCTCAAGTGTGGCCATTCGTCATCGAAATACCCACTCATATTGATCCACGCTCGTTGTCCAGGCAGGCCACTGGCGATGAGGAGTGGGCATTCTTGTCACTCCCACCAGACCAAGGCATCTTGCAGTCGCTCCCTCTGTCGTTTGAGGGCTCCAGTTACCTCATCTATGCCATCTTGAGTACTGGGCTCAGGCAACCTTGAACCTGCTTGGTCAGGCACATTCCGGGAGGCGGTTGCCCTCCTCACCATCCTTGTCTCACCGCTACATTTGGGTCCCCCATCCCGGATATGGGCCTGAAATTCGCCTCAACGCTACACTCTGTGAACTCTTTCCATCTACTACCAGCCAGACCCAACATCCCGCTTTCCGCATCTGATAAGTTTAAGAGAATTTTCAGGCCGCATGCACCTGTACCCTTCGCATGAAGGTTGATTTCCCCTCAAGGATACAACTGGACAACCCAAATTCTATCCCCTTTCAGTTGCGAGCTATACATAAAGAGACAAAATCAGACATCGACACACGGATCATGCCTGAGACTGAAGCTGAAACTGTTGACTTGAACGAGCTCTAACTGACGGCAAATAAACTAATCGTATACTTAGTTGAAAGTAGATTTCTTGCTTGATTTGACCGCCGTCTAGACTATCATTTGAGTTTGCTTCGTGGTGAAGACAGTGTTGAGCAGGCAACTTTACCAAGGAAACAACTCGAGCTAACTTGGAGTCACAGCATTGTACGCACTTCCTCCAGGTCCATTTTTTTTCTTTGGTCGAGCATTGGCATGTGTTCTAGAGTATCTGACAATCGTCGGGCGGCTTTTTGCCACCTCCCGTGTTGGTCATGGTGATATTATCACTGAGCTAAATTGCAGAAGCGGTTAATTATCCAAAGTTCTGCTCATCCTGCTTTTATCACTACCTAGTGCCACGGCAAATGTCACCTTTTAGTTCGTAACTGTCTTCCAACTGCAAGAAAGAAGGAGGAGACCCCCTAGAAGAAGTACATATTTTGTCAAAGCAAGCAGGGACAGTTGGAAATAGGTTCCACAGCCCATCTCCATCATCAAATCTGAAGGCTTTGTGCATAACATATCTCATTGGCAATGGACAGACAGTTTCTGACCAAACCTAGCTCAAAGAAGAAGATCCACAGTACCAAGCATGTCTATGTATAATAGATTGAAAACGAAATCTCTGGAGTGATACTCCTTAGTTCGGCACCGTGAGTATGCCCCTCTCTAGATAATCAAGGAGTAGCATTAGTGATACGTTGTGATGCATGGCCATTGACGGGCTATTGGCGTGATGTACGAAGATCTGCATGGGACATGGGGCTGTAGGATATTCGTAGGAAAACACTCGATGACTGAAAAGTGTGACGGGCGAAGGGATCAAAGGGACAGCTGCAGTCCCCCTGTCTCCCATTATGCGTTGTGCTTTATGCGCTCATCGTATTACCAACCATTCGCGTGTGAAGGCCGACAAGGAACTTGCTCATGGTTTCTCAAACTGCCGCTAAGGATTGAAACCTCTGGGCTACCGACTTCATTCTGAAGTGATTGACAGCCAGCCGAGGTGACACATGAAACCCACATGTTTAACCTATGGAGGTGGCATCCGATCTCTATCTCCTTCCATATCTGGGACTATTCTACCCCCCCAGCTCTTGTTCAGCTATCTAATGCTTACAACCTAGACCACAGACCCTTCTTCTCTAACCCTGAGTCACCATCGTATATATCTCTTTCTACACGCCGTGTGTTGATCTGTGACAATGGTGAGTAGCTGAAACAAGCTGACGTCGAAGGTGAACCTACAAATCTGGGACCCAAGTCGGAGATGGTTTTGGCCCCTAGCAATCTCATGCACGTTGCAGTTTCCGCCTCGAGGACTAAGAAAAGCCATTAGTATCGAAAAACAGCCAGGAGGCCACTTTCACCCCATCTGCTAGCGAGATGTTGCATGGGCACACGACCCGGGAAATAGACAGATATGCGTGTAAGTACTTACTTTCAAACATGCGCTCAACACCAGCTTGCCCGCCGGCTCCCAGGCTGAAGAGGGCGGCACGGCCGACACCAACCGCCTTCGCACCAAGACACAGTGCCTTGACAACATCCGTACCTCTCTTGATGCCTCCATCGACCCACACCTCGATCTTGCTGAAAACTTCCGGGCAGTACTTGCGGATCTCCAAGAGAGTGTGCACCGCGGGGGGCGCGGTGTCCAGAGCTCGCCCGCCGTGGTTCGACAGAATGATGGCCTTGACCTGCGGCGCGTACTTGGCGGCGAGGTAGGCATCCTCGTGCGTCTGTATCCCCTTGAGGACGATGGGGAGATCCGTCTGCTCGGCCAGCCAGGCAAGGGTCGTGGCCCAGGTCAGGTCCGGCGCGGTGCCGAAGAACAACTGCTGCCCGACACCTCCGCCGCCAGGTCGCTTCTCCCCGGACTCCTTGCCGCCCACATCGACCGTCAACGAGCGGTCAAAGTTGGACTTCTCATCCAGCTCACGCTTGCCGGGGACCGGGGCGTCCAGTGTTAGGACGATGGACTTGTAGCGGTGCTTCATGGCGTTGATGCGCTTGAGCATGGCTATGCTCTTTGCGCGGTCCTTTTGGATGTATAGTTGCCACCCGAATACCTGGCCGTCAGGCGACCCTTCGATGATCTGCTCCGGCGTCATGGACGCGTTGTTGGAGATGAGCTGCATGGCGCCGAACCGAGCGGCCGCCTTGGCGATGCCCTGCTCGCCGTCTGGGTGGGCGAGCCGAGCCATGGCGGCCGGCGAGACGTAGATGGGGAGCCCGACCTTGTGCCCGAGGAGGGTCGTTGATAAGTCACAGTCTGTACAGTCGACAAACATCCGAGGCCGGAGGAGGATATCCCTGTACACGGAGTTGTTGAAGCGTTTAGATATTAGGTCATCGCCCGCGGAGAAATAGTACGCCCAGCATTTCTTGGAAACCTGCTTGGTAGCCACCTCCTCCAGCTCGTCGAGGTTGAGTAAGGTCTCCAGGGGAGGAGGCCCTTGCACAGACTTGTCGACATCCTGAGCCACATTGGCCTCCTTGGCCTTGGCGAGGCTGTCGGGATTCACCTGCCCGAGTTTGGCATTGGGATTCAGGTTCTCCTCGAGAGTGCCTGGGGGGTGCACGGGATCATACTCCTCTGTGGCGTCCTTCCCGGCGAGAGATAGGATGATCTTGGAGCCTCCGGGGTGCTCAGGTAAGAAGTTGGTCACATCATAGACATTCCCGTATAGAATCACCCAGCAGCTCTCTGCAGTGTTGTGCTTGGCGACTACCAGATGGTCTGATTAGCTTGGCGATGCCCAGGTGTCCGAGAATCAGTTTCTCACCCTCTTCAGCGTCAAAAATCTTGGCCATGTTTGCAAGAATGTAGTATAGAACTCACGCAATTGAGTCTAGAACGGTGTATAGTGTCTACAACGAGAGTGGCTGACCGTGTGTGCAATAATAATAAATGAGGTGATCTTTGATTCGTGGAAGGCCTCGGCGGTAGTTATCCCGACGCCACTCTTTCCGTGAGGAAGTTCAGGAGAGGATGTAGAATGACCGCCAACGGAGGCAATCACAGATGTTCAACACAGATAGACTTGTAATAGATTCTCAAAGGCGAGGGCTAGCCGCTGTTACGAGAAGGCGCAAGGAGAGGAAGCAGGGAGCGAAGAGGAGATGACCAAGTGCAATTAAGCCTGCAACCATTGGGCCACTGGGCCAACCTCCTCCACCAAGCATCCAACATTTTCCCTGGCCGCGGGTCCACTTGTGTCGGGATATCCTGCATTTCCCAGGGGAGTTCGCCGCCGGTTGTATCCACAGCGACTTGGGCTAGCTTTGTGCCTTTTGCGGAGGGATTGCGGAGGTTGATGCGAGCGAGAAACGGCCAGGTCCAGGGACAGAGGCTGCTGACTAAGAGCCCCATCTTGCCCGATCCCATGCCCTATCGATAGGCAAAACGTCATGGACGGGGAATTATTCCAACCTCGAATTACCATCGGAATTCCGTTGTCGGCTTTAACGATTTCGCCAACTGCCACCCTCCGTCGCTCCTTCATGAACCAGCATCTGCCCGTTCTGAGATCTGATTTTTTCTTCTGCCAGCCAATTGCTGCATTTATATCTCACCTGCGTTTCTCCAGCTGCAGGAAACATGGCAGCCTCATCCCCCGCTCGGCACGTGTACCGACTCTGCGTAAGATGCCAGGTCCACGCTCAACGCACATCGTGCGCCGCCATCCCAACCCGCCCGTCTCTCCTTCAGAGAACAGCCGCCTCCGGCCCCGTGTCTATCGCATCTATTAGCCCTCCCTGCATCCCCTCAGGAGCCTCCTCCTTCTCTACCAGCGCCGCCCTCCGCCGAAACGCCGAAAACGCCGACCCCTCCACCACCACCACCACCTCCTCCTCATCGCAGCCCTTCTCCTCCGGGCCCCCCAAAACCCATTACGACCTCTTCCCAGAGACCCTCCCCCAGGGCCCTCCCCCGGCCGGCCACTTCCCCATCGACACCCGCGCCCTCCGCCGCGAGTTCCTCCGCCTCCAGGCCCGCGCCCACCCGGACCTGCACCCGGCCTCGGACAAGCCCCGCGCCGAGGCCGCCTCCGCCCTCATCAACGACGCCTACAAGACCCTCTCCAACCCCCTCCTGCGCGCCCAGTACCTCCTCGCCCTGCGCGGCGTCGACGTCGCCAACGACGAGAAGCTCAAGGTCGAGGAGCCCTCGCTGCTCATGCTCGTCCTCGAGGCCCGCGAGGAGATCGAGGACGCCGAGTCCGAGGACGACCTCGTCGCCCCGCGCGAGGCCAACGACGCCCGCGTGGCCGCCAGCGAGGACGCCCTCGACATCGCCTTCGCCAACGACGACATCGACGCCGCCAAGCGCGAGGCCGTGCGGTTACGATACTGGGTCAATATCAGGGACACCCTGCACCACTGGGAGCAGGGCAAGCCCGTTGTCCTGCAGCATTAAGAAGGGGACGGAGGAGAAAGCGCGGTGAGGAGGTGTGAACTCGCGTTTCCAAGTTGAAACCTGGAGTTCGCAACGGGATACTGCTGCCCCCCGCTCAATTTTTGGTATCTGTCTATGTGCGCGCCTGCGCGGTCTTGCGCTATGTGTATACAATAATATTAATAGAATAGGCGGCAAAGTCTGGTGAGCCCACCAGGCGTGAAATAGAAAAAGAGATACACTGTGTCGTTGAATTCATTCAAGGCACCTGTGCCAGAGGTACGCCTCATCGCCGAGTGCGACCTCTCCAGGTCGGTTAATGCACCATCCAAAGCTCATCCAGAAAAAAAGGGAAAACTCCTATCTATGTCGCGTGCCAACCCAACCCCCCTTTCACTCCGCTTGATATGTAAAACCTGGTATATGCTGATAGATTGGGAAATGCGTATCAAATCGTTAATACGGAGGTATATTTGTGTGTATTTTCATCGCTCATATGCTGGTAGTTGTTCGTTATGAAGTCTGTGATCTCTTGCTCTGGAAGGGCCCGCCCCAACTCCGTACCCTCGATATTCGTCCTCTTCCGTGATCGAGGGTGCGCTTGGCTCGGCGTCTGGGGCCATATCCCGTCTTGACGTGCTATCGGGTCTCTGCATGTCCTCGGGGATTTGGGGCGCGCTCGCCTCGGCCAGCAGACGCTCGCGCTCAATTTCTTGTTTGTCTTGGGATGGGTCGCTTGGAGAGAGCGGCCGTAGATCACCTTCTGCAGGGGCTGATGGGCCATCCTCCGAACCTCCGCTTGGGAAGCTGGGAGTAACATGAGGCAAGCGTGGTGTTTCATCTGCATCGTAAATGTTTTCCTCCTCATTGTCTGGCGGAGACGAAGGGCCGGCAGCTGGTGGTTGGCTGGGAAGCAACCTATTCTCCGCTAGCTGGATTCGCTCCTTTTCGGACATGTTCCGTTCATCGGGAACCTGGGGTGAGGGAATGTATTGTGGTGCTGGGCCATGTCCGACACCATTGGTTTCTCCGTTCATCGAATAAGGATATGGCTGTGAGGGAGCCGTAGGTCCGTGTGGTTGTTGGGGAAGTGTAGGTGGCGGTGCTCCGTAGTAAGGCTGGTTGCCTGCTTGGGGAGCAAAATTAGTATTCTGGGGGTAGTTGCCAGCAAAGGGCGACGGCGATACCCAGTGATTTTCATCGGGTTGGCTATGTTCCGTATAATATGCTTCGTCTTCGTCGCTCTGAGCCATGTGAGCTATCCCTGATGATGGTGACATCTGTCTCTGTGTTCGCGGTTTCCCTCTTCCCCGTGAACTATCCACCGTTCCGACAATGGTTTCTATCGTCATTGAGACGACACCCTTTTCTCTCCGAAGAGGTGAGGTATCAATAATGGTAGAGCTTCCGCGCCTGGGACCGTAGGAATTCCCGTTCTCGAACCAACCGTTGCCTTGTCCAACCCTGGACGACGTCCGATTTCCTTGAAGTTGATTAGTCAACTTGCCTCCCAAGTCAACGATTACTTCAACTTGGTATTTGAATCCAATCATGTTCCCGGGCACGCCCTTGATTGTGGGGAATGAGTCATCGGGGATTTTGACCGACACTGTGACTGAAGTTTGCAACGTCGCCGGGTGAATGATTAAAGGCGCAGAGTTCTGATCCAAATCCTTGCGGAAGATGCTCTTGGACCCCGACGAGGACATGGACAAGCCCCCGAGTCCGGTTCGAGACTTGGGAAAACTCTCGTTCTTATCTGCGCGTTTCCTATCTTCCGAGAAGAGTTCGGGGGAAGGAGCCGAGTCAATTCTGCCCTGCCGGAATAAAGTGACAATGACACCAGCCATGCTCTTCATTCGCTTGATATGTTGAACGGTGACGCGTACAGGGACCGTGTCCCCAGGTAGACAGCCCCCGCGCAGCAGCTCAACAGTTGTTGTAATCGTCTTTTCATCCACGACTTGCTGATTGGCCGTCGCAACCTGGGCAAGCTCTGCCCGACTCAAACCGCCCGTGCTTGCACTCCGGCCACTCTCACCGCTGACCTCGCTACGGATATCGGACTGGTCCAGCCCACGGTCACGATTCAAATCTTCGGCTGTAGTGGATGGAGCAACGGAGCCAACTTCGGAGGAAAGATCATTGGCCACTTCCTGAGTAGTGGCCTGAACGACCTTCTCGGGAGCAAATGATTTCCTTGTTTTGACTCGTTTCGAGATAGGTTCTAGAAAAATCGTCTTTGGGCGAGGCGGTGCCAGGAGACCAATGTCGACCTTCTCAACCAGAGTAACCTTCCTGTCGCATGAGGTGGTAGCCGCCATCGATGTCGGTCTGGTCAGTGTTGCCATAATTAGATAGGAAATCGACCCTCGTTCGAACTGCGTGCCATGTTAGACCATCTTCATCTAGTATTTTGCCCAGATCTGTCAAGTCCGGGGCGGAAGAGCCCTGGGGCTGCCTAGTATATAAATCAACAGCGCAAGGCAAAGGGGAAACATACGTCAATACTACTTGGTAGCCCTCCTTCAGGGAATACCAAATTGAACCCAAATTCGTATTTGCCGGGCTCCAGCCTGCCATCCCCACTCAGCACCTGCTCGTCCTGGAAAATGCTGGCGAAGCCATGGCCATGATACCGCGGGGTCTCCGAGCCACCGGATGGTAGGAGAGCATGTGGGCTTGCGCTGACCGCTGGTTCCTTGAGGACGCGGGCAAAGCCGTTGAGAGAGACCGTCAGATGGGTGATGCGGATAGGCTTCACAATAACGAGAACTACCGACCCGCGGACGTTCTCACCAGCAGCATACTTTTTATGAGGCTCCTGGGGCTGGATATGAAAGTCTGCGACATGGTTTTTCCGGCTGCGGAGGGTAATTGGGAGACTGAATCGGGAAGATAGGGAAGAGAAGCGGGGGATGGAGGAGAATCGCCTGCTGGAGATTGGCTTCGCGGTGGACAGCGCAACTTGAGAGTCGGCGCGCGGCGAGGAGGAGGACGAGTTCGGGGTCGAGGGGCTCGAATTGCCGGTGCTTGAGACGTGGTTGCTGTTGGCGCCTGCAGGCTGGGCTGTGGAAGGTCGAGGAGTGTCGGAACCAGCAAAAGAAATCGTCGATGGTACCGAGCGGCCGTTCATCCCCGACGGTGTTGCGGAGGGCATCTGTGAGGTGGCAACAGAATTCGATCCCTGCCGCTGCTGCTGGCGGTGCTGGCCACCAGCGATGGTCGAGGGTGTTGGTGTCGCGATGGTGGTTGGGTGGGCTGATGAGGCGGAAGTTGCGGTAGCCGAGGTGTCGGCGTGGTCGGCGATGGGAGGAGGGGTCGCGCTGGAGGGCGGCGAGGCACGGCGCTGCTGTTGCGATGGTGTTGTTCGCCAGTTCTCGACGGATGCGTGCGCCCGGGAAGTAGACGAGGATGAGGGCAACGCGGGTGACGGGGCCATCCAAGCAAGAGTGCTGCCCAGCTTAATCCTCCCCAGATTCACTAAGTAGCACTATGCGCTGTGTTGACTGGACCCGCGAGCCGAACGCCAGAAACCGGGATTATAAAGACACACACAGCCAGAGTCCCCTTTCTGATGGCGGCAGCGCTGTGTTGAACTGCTGGGTCTAATCGCCTTTGCTTGCCTGCTCTCTTGCGTGCAGGTGGCGTCTGTTTAAGTGAAGTAGAAGGAAGTTGATGGTCGTTGGCTACCACCGGGTTTGGCTGCCGTAGATGGGCTGCAGGGCGGTAGTAGTGGCACCGAACTATTTGACGGGGAGAGACAACAGTGGGGTGCCCTGCTGTGGTGGTTGTGGTGGCGGCGGCCGCGACAGGCTAGCAACCACTGTAGCGCGTTGGGGCCCCTGGATCCCTGTGGAGGAGGGGAAGTAAGTTGCTGCCGCTGGGCTGTCGCTGATTTGTCGCCCGAAGTCCCCCTCCTTCGTTCACTTCTTTCTTTCTTCTGGTGCACCCTCGTCTGCCTTGCCTTCTCCCCACCTTCTCGCCGTCTGTGCTGCCGCTTCCAGCAATAGCGTGGTTGGTAATGGGTATGGGTAGTCCCTCAGTGGTGTTGCCAGCTGCCTGAACAGTCTTCGGGCGGGCCGGTGGCCTGTTCTGTCCTATTCCAGCGCGCGAGCTTGGTGTTAGTCGGGCTTCTAGCTGCGCTCCTCCCCGGCCTCTGCGTGTCCGAGGCCACACACGCCAAGAAGCAAAGTCCGCGCCAAGCAAAGCTTGTCAACTCCTGTTGCGGAAGGGATCCAGGGCCGTGCTCCGGAGCGAGAGTCCGGGTCTGCTTAGAAGATATCGACTGTCTGGATGCTGAATGAGAGAGACGAAGAAAGAGGAGACCAACAGTCCTCGGGGCGTAGAACAAAGCAGCACACCCAATTGATTTAACTGCGGCCCCAGCCAGCTGAGCTGGAAGGGGTCCGAGCGAGGCCGAGAGAAGCCTCAGAATATGGACACCACGCCGTATCTGTTCATTGACTGGCCCGTTATTTCAGCCCACCACCAACCCACCGTTATTTAGCAGAACCCGCTCCCCCAGTCTACCCAAAGGACGCCCCGTTCAAGGAGCCATGTGCCATGTATTCCCGGAGCCTGTTAAATAGTGTCGTATCATAGTAACCGCCCATCACTTTTCCTGTGACTGGTCGATCGATATTTGCCTTGACAATGTCCCACGTAGGGCTAGTCCCTTGCCTATAAATAAACTCCGAATCCCTGCAACTCATGCATGTCTGCCCCCTCTGTATACGTCAGGGCAGAGTGCTGTCGCTGAGCCTTGGTTGGTGAGAATCGGCTGTCGCGTATACTCCCAGGCCTTCATCTGCCTGTCGCTCTCGTCTCGCGCCGCCAACCGCCTCGTGTTGACTGCCATGTACGGCCGCCTGGGAGAACGCAAGTTTTTACCTAGTGCAACATCGGTGTAGTAATTTAGATTTGGATCACCACGATCGGCCAACGGCAACAATGAATAGGCTGACGGATACGAGCACTGTCTTTGTTCTTCCAATCACTGGTCAATAACATCCACTTCAAGGGGCCACGCAATGCACCTGTCCCATTTGGGCACCCTGTGCGTCTGCTGAGCATTATTCTTCGAACAGGTCACTTCGCGAATCGTGCCCAAGTCCAGAAAGAATTAGCGAGTTTTTCGTCTCTTGTCATTTACTCTATGTGTAGACTGCGGAATCGTGTCCGCTCTGCCATCTTGACGGCATGCAAAAATCCAAAAATGCAATCCCCCAAACGCCAAGCTTTCATGATCCAAACACCGGAGATCTAGATGCTTCCCCTTGTATATATGCAATTATGCCCATGCCGTTCCCATTTTCAAACAAAAAATACTGAAACAAAAGCTATGCCATGATGTTTTCTTTGTGTGTGTCGTCATTAGTCAAGCGCCTCACCGCTGAGAATGCTTCGCAGAATACCCGCACCAATGCCATCGGTCATAGATTCCATATCCTTCTCTGCAACCGCACTGGCGATCCGCTTATCATCTCCACTGGCCACTGTGGTGGTTTTCCTGCCGCGTTTGCTTGGCGTCTGTGGCGTAATAAAGCTGCCGTTTTTACCGTCAACCGCGTTGACTAATCCCAACGTCTCTAAACTGCCAACGACCTCTCGAAACTCAGATCCAGATAACGGGTGCAAAACTGAGTCGCGAGTGCACAGGCGGCAATAAGTCTCAAACAGGGCTTTGATGGTGGGCGCCATTGTTTGTGACTTTGATGGTGTGGCCCCGTCTGCACTAGTGAATGAAGCTCGGGTGCGCCTCTCAAAAGCCACCAAAGAACAGAGAGCTGCTTTTTGTTGTAGATTAAGAGTCTTTAGCCTTTGCGTTGTTCCATTACTGAAAGCTGCTGCTGTGACTTTGTTAAGGTGCCCAATCGATGCTCGGGGGGCCGTCTCTGCCGTCAATGACTTGAGAGATCTTGTCATAATCTGTGCGATGCTCTTTGGGCCGTTGCCAGAAGCGCCATTGATCTTCTCACCCAGTGGCCTCTTCGTCGGAGTGAGCTGGAGGAGTTGTTCCCGCGCCTCGTCCTCGTGCTTTGACCTTGTTTCCTGCTCAATGAAGTCGAGAGCCCGGCGGCAAATTTCAAACGCCTTTCGTAGGTCACCAGTCTGGCTTGCCACCTTGCGAGAGCACAGCTCAATCGCGGCAGGGTGAACAAAGGGCACGTATCCCTCCTTGCCCTCGGGCATCAATGATTTGAGCCTTCCAGTGATAATTTGCTTGATCTGGACTGCGGTATAGGGGAGGAAAGGGAGCAGATCAGGCTTTAAGTTCTTGGCCTTGAGCCTCGGCAAGAATCGATCGGTGAGGTCGAGTGCGTTGGCAATTCCAATCAAAACCAATCTTGATGATTTTTGGAGAGACCACTCAAACATGCGGTATAAACTTTCCAGACCCATGGTCAAGATATGATCGATCTCATCCAAAGTAACCAGGTAGACCTCGGAAGATGATTCTTGTGATTTGGGGCAGAAGATGGACTGAAGAGTTGATACGGCTTCGGATTCCGACGAGTCGCTGGCATAACCCAACTCCTCCAGCAGAGTCTTGTACAGATCCCTGGAAGATTTGAGACTCATGCAGTTGACGTAGGAAGCACGCACGCCTTCCCTATCCGTATACCCTTGCATGATCTCGGTGATCATTGCGCTCTTGCCAGTTCCTGGAGGACCACTCACGTAGAGACAGCCGCGCGGTGACTCAGATGAAGGGGAGCAGCGATCGAGGAAGGTAGAGAGATGTGCTCGCTCTGTTTCCCTTCCAATCAGCTTGCCTGGTTCCGTCCCGTGAGCGAAGAGCTGGCGAGCGTTGTGGTAGACTGTCTGGATAGCCGAGGGAGACAAAGGGGTGGATGGCGTCAATCGCTTGAATAGTTTGCCGGCGGACATAACCACATGGCGTGGAGTATTCGGGGATGAGAAAACATCGCGATGGCGAGGGGTCGAGGGCGTGACTGGGTCGAGTCTCAATGCTGATTTGCGGATAGTAGGGGGCACTTCGTCCACATCCTCGGCAATGGAGTTGGGGTCCTGGTTCTCGTCGTTGTAGAGGATGGGCTTCGTACTTCTCCTCGCTCTCTTACTGGGAGTCTGTGGTAATGGCAGGTCGGCTGGAATAATGGTCAGTGACAACTTCCTTCCGTCGAGTTGTGGTTAATTGCTCCTACCTATGTCAAGGGCGGACCTCGTCCTCTTTCCTAAGGTTGAGGGAGACATGAGGATAGCGGTTGCAGCTTCCTCAAGTTGAAAAGACAATAGTATTTGGCAAATGCAATGCAAGTAGATGTGAAGCAGGAACAATGCGTGAATTATACAGTTGTGTTGAAATGCGGGAAGGAGGTTGTTGTGAGTTGGACAAGATGGAGAAAGTGCAATGGTTGTGCCCTGGCAAGCGCCTGGGTTTTTAGCCCGTTGGCGCGGTTGCGAGCAAAGACCCAGCGTCACGAACGCCCTGGCGAGAGGACGTGTTGGACGCGACCTGAAAACGCGTTTCTCGCGACCTTTTTAAGTGGGACCACTTTAAATCACCCGTTAGATGGCCCGTGCACGCTGTTAATTTCGAGAAGCTCCAGCCTCAGCTCTGGGCCCCACCAAGCTCAGTCGCGTGGCTTGACCGTGGCTGGAGTCGCGTCGGAACGGAGAGCACGGCGCATGGGAATTGGTGATGATCGCTACATTTCTCGATGGCTACTAGAATTGCAACCTCTGGGTATCGAGGCATTGCTTTAAATGTCGTACGAGGCTGTTGTTCTCCTAAAATGCATTTCACAGAAACAACGTCAATTCGCTATTTTCCCCCTTGACTCCTTCTTTCAGCCCATAAATAATTACCTATACAATTGCAACATTGGTAAGTCCGGATTTGCCCAGCTAGCCACTGCCAATGTAGAGGTCTCAAATGCATTACGTCATTGAGGCTCTCCAGCTCTCCAGAGTCTAGACAGCTCGAAACCACACCCATTGATTCACTGAGCTGAACGATTGTATTTCTCCCACGACCGAGTTGAATTTTCCTCTAACATTGAATTCCTCGACTAGAAAATCGACCGCCTTTACAGCCATGACAACGTACATCCCTTCCATCACCATCCCTTCGCAGGTGTTTCTCAACCCCTCCATATCGATCCTTGTTCCTGTTGTGCTGGGAACATCGATTGGGTATGCCACTGGGCGTAAGTGCACATTGATCTATATCTGAACTAGCCTGTGCGATGTCCTTGGCTCTGACGCGAACCCGAATCTTTCTCTGCAGGAGCTGGTACTGAAAAGACATACCTCCGGTTGAAGCAGCCCCCTCTGCGCCCACCACCATGGCTGTTCGGCCCCGTTTGGACGGTCCTCTACGGGTGCGATGAACCCATCCATTATATTTGCCCCCTTTACTCAACCGCTAATCAATTGGATAGGCTGATGGGATATGCTGCCTATCGCGCAACCTTCAAGGGGCTGTCGCCCTTCTCATCCCCTGACACCATCCGCACCACCAAGCATACGATGACCCTGTACACGATCCAGCTTGGTCTCAATCTTGTCTGGATGCCCCTTTTCTTCGCTGCCAAGCTCCCTGCTCTCGCCACTGTAGACATCGTCGCTCTTCTGGGTGTCAACGCCTACCTGACCTACCTCTGGCACCCTATCGACGCGGTTGCCGCATACTGTCAGATTCCCTACCTTGGGTGGCTGAGCTTTGCAACATATCTCTGCGCCGGAGTGGGTTATCTGAACAACTGGGACCTGCATGCCAGGGATGCAAAGAAGCCTGGCAAGAAGGCGGTAGATGACTCGAAGATCTAGTTGCCTGTGAATCGCCGCCAGTCACGACAGGCTGATCTCTCTAGACTCTCCAGGAAGTGGATGGCACTGACACTCTGTTTCGTGGGGCTGCTATGCGTCCCGCAGACGCAGAAGTAAAGACGGAACGCATTGCCTGGCATGTATCATATACCGTTTTAAAATCGCTTATTCCTATTCATAATTTTTTCTATAACCGAAATCAACATGCTTTGTAGTTGAATTATGCCTCTGTTCCTTTCCCACGAGTAAATATATATTAACGGAACAAAAAAAAAGAGGAAGGCTGGTCCAATGCCGTATATGATGTATGAAACCCAGCTGTAGTCTGGGCCAGGGGTTTCTTTCGTTTCCTCTATATCGCTTCGACCTTTACTTTCATGAATGCATTGGTAAATGTCTTTTCAGACCATCATAAACCATAAAGATAAATGCCGAGCTGGGTGCGGACCGAAGACATGTAATCCCACAACCTCGGTACAGCCCCTTCAGCCCATGCTGCTTCCACACAGCGACACCCTCGCTCCAGAACGTGCGCTTCACATGGGAGCCGCCAAGAGGCATCGTCTGCATGCGGGACTTGATCGTATCCGCAGGGAAGAAGAGGAAGTTGTAGGCGATGCCGGCAGAGGCGCCCGCAATGGCCTGCTGCCAGAAGGGCAAGGGCGTCGTCGCCAGCGCCTCCCTCTCAGCCTGGGACGTGACGGACTTGAGCCTCCGCTCCCTGAACAGGGCCGTGGTGGTCTCCTTGGCGCCGAACCAGGCCGCGCTGCCGCCCGTCTCCCTGATGAGCGTGCCCATCTGCCCGTGCCAGAACCCCATGATCCCGCCGTGGCGGAAGATGCTCCGTATGACGGCCACCGGGCGCAGGGCCTGCCCCGAGGCGCCGGCCGGGGCCTGGATCTTGCACTTGACTAGCTCGATGGGCGTCAGGGCGAGGGAGGCGAAGGCGCCGGCGAAGGCGCCGGTGAGGTAGAGCTGCGGGAGGGAGAGCCCGTCCCGCCGCGAGGCCCAGCCCGCCGAGAACATGGCTTCCCGACCCACGCTCTCGAACATGAAGAGGCAGCTGTTCTCGGCGGCGGCGCCCACCAGGGGCGCGGTGATGCCCCGGTAGAGGCCCCGTATGCCCTCGGCCTTGAGCGACTGCCGGAAGCAGTCCAGCGGGCCGGTGTATCGCAGCGGCAGGTGGTCGGGCTGGCTCTGGAGTCGTACTTTGACCGTGTCGAAAGGGTACTCGATGTACTTGCCGACGATGCCAGCAATCTGGGAACGACGCGACGCCTCGTTAGCCATCGCAACAATGGGAGGAAACCTAAAGCCCCGCCGATCTCGGGCCCAGCCACGCCTGGGGGGAGGAGGGGGGAAACACTCATACAGAGCCATATGTCACGTCCTCAATGGCCTCCATGGCCGCAGTCTGGGGCTTGAGAGACATTTCGGCAGGGGCCTGGACAGGCTCGATCGCAAGCTGACTAGTTTCCATGCTCTGTCGTTCGGGTCCTTGGTGGGAAAACGGTCGAAAACACGGCCCAGGTTAAACAGGCTTTTGTTGGGATGAGGGATACCCCTCAGCCATGCAGCCAGAAAAAAGTCCGAGAGAGATGAGATAAATAATGGGAAGAAGGGAAAAAAAGGAAAAAGCAGGAGAGGGGGACAGTTGGAAGCACGAAATTAGGCTTGTCGCCCGTCCTGTCACAGGCTGGTGCGACCAGGATGGAGCGAGCCGCGGGGCAGTCTAGCGCATCCAGAAGTGGGAGTCGGGCGGTGACGGTGCCGGTTTTTTTTTTAGATGGTGGAGAATTTTTTTCTTTTTGGCGAGGAAATCACTGATTGATAAGGAAAACTTGCAGGACATCCTCAGCCGGACCCTCTTTAGCTGCATGGACATGCTGGTTATTGACGCGGCATGTCACGCTACGACCCTCGCCAAAAGGCCTCATCTCGCACATAGAACTAGGTAACGCTCGGCTGGATGGAGAGAGGGGGCTGAGAAAAGAGCGAAAGGGAAGGAGGGACATCGCAGGATGCAAGGAATGCGGAAATTGTTCCAACCCTGGCGGTGAGACACACTCTGTATGATACATCGATCTGCGGGTTGGCATACACGGAAATCATACATATGTCGAGCAGCCCGACAGCAATGCCGCCGTAGCGAGTGCCGTGTGCAGATGAGCCGGTAGTTATGGAGATGGGGAGTTTCGGACAACTGCCGAGGCATAGAGAGCTGACGCGACTACGGATGTCCCATGTAAGCTGGGTGCATGTCTGAGATGATGTGAAGATGGTGCCAATGAGAGCATGTGCCTAGTCTGCTAGCTTTGATGTCTCATTCTGCAATGAGTCATCTGTCTTCTCTAGCTGGGCATGTAGGCATATTCATTGGGCATCCAAACCTGTTACGTACTGCCACGGAACGCGGGAGGAGGGACGTGGTGGGCAAGGTGCGGGAGCATCAACCGATCCACTGCATAGACCCGTGGGACGGATGCATGTGTCAGGATTGGGAGGTGAGCACTATCCTCCATTGGCTGTCTTCGGCATCACGCGTCTTGCTTTCTTTTTCTTCTCTTCCCTAGAAGCATGTGGCTCTCACGGTAGATGCCGCACGACACAACTGCAATGGATGAGATACGATCTATCCCTTACTCCGCAGAATCCATCGAATAACGGCTTGTAATCAGCATGATATTTACTACGCCAGGATTTCTACCCTCATTGTTGCCCTTATGCTACTTATTATAGCATCCTAGGCAGAACCGTCAAGGTCAGTCTTAAATATCACAGCGTTTAAAGGATGAAATAGGACCCTTCCAGATGATGACAATTAAATTCCTGTAGGATTAACATTCTGCTATGAACGAATTATCTCATCGGGGATCGCCCCAGAAGCTCTCTATGGTCATCGTGGCGATCATTGCCAACCGAAACACGTACATTGGGCCTTCATATATGACATGGTATGAATAAAGTTATTCCAAGGAACTGCAATACCCTTTCCAAAGCTCCTGCCCCGAAAGACGGTTGGCCAGGTTCAAACTCAAGCCGGGATTACCCGTGCAAGACTCACAGGCTTACTGCTTCTTCTTGCTGGAAGCCTTGGTCTCGGGCTCCTTGGGCTCCTCGGGCTGGGCTTCCTCGGTGTGGTCCTTCTGCTCGGCATACCACTGTCCGGACTGGAGAACCAGGACACCGATGAGGACAAGGGCAAGGATGGTGTTGCTGGCAGAGAGGACCTTGAGGCTGTCCTCGCGACCGAGAATCATCTCACCAGCAAAGCGGCCCTCGCGAGTCGACTCCCATTCGGGGCTGTTCCAAACACCCTCACTGACAGCGCGGAAACCCTTGATGGTGTTGGAGATGTAGACAGCGACGGCGATGAGGTACAGGATGATGGAGGCTCCGTCGAAGAGGAAGTTGGCCTCGCTCGGGCGGTACATCTTGATGAAGAGACCGAGGAAGGCGATGCCAACGGTGATGTGCAGAATGCGGCTGATGATGGGCGGGGAGTCGAACAGGAACTTCAGATGTACCTCCAACTGGTCAAGGTACTCGGGTGGGATGTCCACCTTGCTCCAGAGGAGGGGGAAGTCATAGGGGAACTGCGCGAAGAGAATGCCCAGGAAGAAACAGGTGGCTATAAGAGGGGTTAGCTGTCTGTTCGCGATACGCTGGCCAGCGCTAAGGGAACCAAGAACATACGGCCAATAATCATGGCAGTAGCAAATGATCCAGATCCATGGTAGTTCTTGGACTTGGTGGTCTTGGACCAGTCAATCCAGGAGCTCATGATGGGCAGCTTGTGTCGCGGGTAAAGAGGTGGAGAGGTCAAAAGTGGCGCGCGCGCTGGTAGGTCCGGGGTTGCGGTCGCAGTTGAACGATGGACGAGTAGCAGAAGAAGGCGTATACCAATTGGGGAAACTCCTACTAGATTCTGGGGAGGCTCACGAAGAAGAACAGGTAAAGGTGGCGAGACACAGAGGAGGAGGAACGGGGTTGAGATCTTTCCGCGACGAACAGGCTGGAGGCAGCGACCGAGCGACGAAGTCTAGAAGGTAATCCACTGATTCCATTGGCTTGCAGACTCTGCTACGCTCGTGTGGGGGAGCGATGGAGCCCCACCCCTCATTTTCCACACGCTGAGGAGAAGGCCAGATGCGCATGGACTAGGGTATGTGCTTATCGCAGCTTTTCCTTCATCAGCCGATTCTCCCCTGCTGTGGCTGGCAATTAATTAAACAATATACAATCAATTGTCCATACACCGCCATGCCGAGAAGAACACCGCGGCAGGTGTTTGGTAGTCATGAGCGCAACTACGTAATAGATTGAGTGCCTCGTCTGGTTGCAGACATCAGCCTTCCAGTGGCTTTTGGCACCAAGTAATAGCTTCTACTCTGAAGATAACCCAGGCCGCTAAGTCCGTTTATGGCCTAGTCAAGGTCTGGACCCTGGAACACCTAGGCGAGAAATGGAAGTTAACATGAGGTGCAAAGAAGACAACCCATGCAACGAAGATGAGGCCAGCAACGACACACTCAGACTCCTCTGAGCTATAGACCTGGAATAGGAACGATATATGGCGAGATGACTGTAATCATAAATTAAGTTGAGGGTGAGTTCAAAGCTTCAATGGAAGTAACCCTCGCTTTCTAATTGCCCCTTGGACTGCCTTCTTGATCTGTGCAAGCGACCGCTGCCAAGCCTCTTTTCCTTTGGGCTGGCTTTCCGTCTCTTCCTGCTCGATCAGAACTTCCAGCCATTTGATCAGCTTCAGAACTTTTTTCAGGTCCCGTTCTTCCTGGACGACACCGACCAGATACTTTTGAAATACCTCCACATCACCATCGTGCGGGCCGTCCATTCGTGTCTCCGCGTGCCAGGCATCCACCATGTCCTTGATCTGCTGCACCGACGAGACACCAGACTTGCCGAACGGAATTTGTGGCCGTGGCGGGGGGAACTGTATCTGAGCTTCTTCAACTAGACTATCCGCGTCTGGATCTGATATTCTCTGCCCATGTAGCGTGGGGGCTTCCAACCCAGATTTGTGTGCCAGCCGTAGACGCCTATGATCCTCCATCACCTCTTTCCGTATTGACTCTGGAAGTCCGGCGAGAAACTCGGGATCCATATCCTCTACAGTGCCTCCCTGTGGGTGCTCACTGCCAGCTTGGATGTCCATGAAACTGGTCTGGATCAAACCAGCCTGGGCATCTTTCTTGAGCTCGGATTTCCCAAACAAATTACGTGCCCGTCCTCCTTGCTTTGTTGGCGTAGCCGGTTTGAATGCATGAGATGGCTTATCTTTTCTTGGTGAGTGATAGGCAGGGGGCTGCGCCTGCTTGCGCCCATACGTTGCCAACACCTCGGCCTTCATATCGTCGGGGAGTGCATTGAACACTTCTGTGTCAATCTGAGAAGACAAAAAGTCCATAGCTGTCGTGCTAGCTTTGGTGATGGGGGAGGCCTGCCGACTACTTGCTGGACGCTGTGCCATTAACCGGCTTCGGATATCCGTTGGGAGTTCGGCGAATACTGAGGGATCCACGCTACTTGGCAACAGGAATTGTGTACCTGACACATTCAAAGGGGTCGTTGCTTTGGAGTCTTCCTCTGCAGCTTTCGCCAATGCCATCGCTGGGTGTACCTTTGACTTCGAGGGCGTGAATGGCTCTTCAGTAATAGGATCCCTCTCGCCTTGACGACTGGGAGTGGGTTTTGTAGGGCTCTCAACCTCCTCAATGGCTTCGGTTTGAGGACGTCTAGAGCTAGGGGGTGGGCCTTTGAAGGCACTGAATGGAAGTTTCCGCTGACTGCCTTCGGGCGCAGAGGGGTTTGTCTTGATAGGCTCAAGTTTTGTCATCTGAACACCAAGCCCACGAAGGTCTCCAGGGCTGAAGCCAAAGGTTCGGAGGACTGAGACTGCCTCTTTACCAATTGCCTCGTAGTTGTTCGTGGAAACTCCAAAGGAAACACTTTTGTTGAAAGTGTCACATTTGCCATGACCAAGGTGTTTGGCTGGATCGAGAGGTGCGTCGAGCGATCTCCGCATAATCTTGACGGTCAACTGTCGCCCCTTGACCTGCTCATTCAAAAGCCGCCTTTCAAGCTCCTTGCATAGATTGTAAACGAATTCCTCAGCCTCAGGTTGGCTGAGAAATCGAATACCCCAATTTATCTCAGCAGACACAGATTTCCGGGGAGGTTGCTCCCCGACCTCAGCCTTGTCGATGCCGCGGGAGTACTCCCAAAGCTTCTCTCCGGTCTTTGGGCCCAGAACAGAAGAAAGGCGTTCCCTGGAGAGAGCACGTAGATCCTTGATAAGCTTGACGCCAACATCTTCCAGCTTGCCGCTAATACTACGCGCAACCCCAGGCAACTGCTCAACCTGGAGTTCTCCAATCATATCCAAAACGTCAACGGGTTTCAGCTGAT